GTGTTTCCTTTTAATACAATAAAAACTCCTTTTAATGCAATAAATATCTTGTTTGCACAAACAACTAATTTGTTGCATTAAAAGGTGTTTCCTTTTAATACAATAAAAACTCCTTTTAATGCAATAAATATCTTGTTTGCACAAACAATTGATTTGTTGCATTAAAAGGTGTTTCCTTTTAATACAATAAAAACTTCTTTTAATGCAATAAATATCTTGTTTGCACAAACAACTGATTTGTTGCATTAAAAGGTGTTCTGGTGGATCCAGCCAGTAATTCTGTCTCGTCAATTATCAAACAGAATTTTTGTTAACGCAACAAGATTTTTTTTCCGATGCATACATTAACGGAAAAAGGTGACAAATGACAGAATTACTGGTTGAATCTACCAGAACTTCTTTTAATGCGATAATATCTTGTTTGCATAAACAACTGATTTGTTGCATTAGGCAAAAGTGTTCTGGTAAATTCAATCAGTAATTCTGTTTCGAACATTTTTGTTAATGCAACAAAATTTTTTCCAGTGTGGATACCAACTACTTGTTTTTTTTTTTATATTGTAATGTGATGATTTTTTGGAGAACACTGATTGTTACTGCAAAGCAGAGATTTTACGTTGGAGAACATTACGATTAATATGTCGTTGATATATTGCGAGGTTTAAATAGCTGGGATTTTATATTGGAAAAGGTCAGGAAATCTTGTTGGACTTGTAGTATTGTATATCATTGAACAAAGAGACGCGATTTCTCAAGTTGGAGAACATTTAACCCTTCTGTCAATGGATAATTTTTCACGCTTTTCTGTCAATGTATGGATGTCAATTACGTATTCTTGACATATTGCACTGCAAGAATTTTTTTATAGGCATCAAACATTCTTTACCGTTATATTTTGATTTAAATTCCTAAATACAAACTCTTTTGTATTTTATGTCAGGAAAAAGTTCACATTTTTAACACTTGAAATTGCTTCGGGTATCCGTTCATTGACAGAAGAGTTAATCGATTTCGTAAAAGAACATAAATTTCAATATTTACGAAGAACGAAAATTTCAAAAATTGGAGAACACTGATAAATACTATTGAAAAGCGGAGATTTTAAATTGGAGAACATTTAAATTGCGATTAATATACCACTGGTATATTGCGGGATTTAAATAGCTGACATTTTATATTGGAAAAGGTCAGAAAATCTTGTTAGACTTGTAGTATTATTGAAATAGTTGTGCAAAGAGATGCGATTTCTTAAGATGGAGAACATTTAAAGACATTGCGATTATGATAACCTTGATATATAACTTCATATTGATATAATACAATATTAGCATCAAATTAATTATTAATATTGTATATAATATTGCGTTATGATTACTCACGTTTTTTCAAAAATTTCATATAGAAATAAAAATTAATTTAACTCAACAAGTTATCATAACAATTGTTTTGTAAAATTTCAATAAAAAACATTTAAAACTTTTATATAATTAGTATTTAAAAAAATAATTATCGTGCGTATGACAAAATTTTAATTTATTTCTTTAAACAATTATTCTAATATTGAAAGAAATTATTTTAAAGATTTCCGATAAGATTGATTTATATATAAACTTGTATAAAAAATATGATAGATAAAATTTCAATTCATAATAGTTTCCATGAATGATGAATAATCATAAATTTTTAACAAAATCTGTAAATATTATTATATACATATAATATATAATTAATAACTATAAAAGTATATTTCATTAAATATGAAAAATATTTTAATAAGATGTAGAATATTTTTGTTACGTGTATTACATTATTAAGTTGTAAAATGAATCACCACTATGTAAATAACCAAAGCATTTTTATGAAAGAGAAATACGACCGACAAAATATTAAAACTTACTCACGCCGTAGCTGTTTTCCTCACCTTTGTTTGTCCTTTATCGCTCCATCACTTTTTTGACACAAATATTCGCACAACACTTACAAAGGAATTTATGATTAATTATAATCGCGCACATCCACATACCACTCATCAGATGATCGCGATACTTTACATATCACTCTTGACGCTAATTGCACACGACGCGCGCTTTATTTTATATTCCGGAAAAATGCAACTCACATAATGCTTACAATACGAGCTCCGTAACAACTATACTTGTTAATTAAACGCGTCGCAATCACTCAATCTATTTCGTATCCGGGATGTCTTATTAATGACGGAGAACTTCGAGTATGACATCAGCAAAACTTTTACTCCAATACTGCGCGTTCAATTAATGGCTAATTCAGACGCGATAATCGCGAAAATTAATTGATTGTGCGATTTGAATAGCCAATCGTAAGAAATGATAACGCGTTTGATAACTAGTTACGTCGCGATTATATTATGAAAGATTATGCGATAACACACGGAGCATTTCGCAATGCTGCCTTCTCGGTCGAGATTCGCGGCGCGACTAAAATAAAGTCACCTAATTTGAAAACACCCTACAAGACGCCGAATTTCTTGCATATTTTCGTTCAATATGTGTGTCCTTCGTTCGACTTAATATGTTTTGTTTACGTGCGCGTTCATTCTTGTGCCCGTGGAATGTACAATTACGTCAAATAACTAGGAAGCATCACAAATTTTGAATTCTCGAGGAATTTTACACAGATAAATTATTAGATTATTATTATTATCTAATACTTATTACAAAAAGTATTAGAGATATTAAAAAATGTTTTATACAAGAGTTTCATGAATATCTCTATTTGACAACATTAATAAAATTTTGATAAAATTTTTCAAAGATTAAAAAATTTCTTTTAAACTATTATTAATGTCATGTTAAATAGAATGATTCTTAATGAAATTTTTGTGTAAAACATTTTTTGATATTTCGAATACGTTTCAAAATTTTAATTAATAAGTCTCGCGGGAAAATTGCTGTATTTCCGTATCTCAATATTTATTAATAGCATATATCATAAATTTGACATTTGTATAATATATGGATGATTCTTAAAAGGCTTCAAGTAATTTATTCGATCCAAATAATCATGCGAATAGGCAAAGATATGTGTTTTTAATCATCGCGGATTTTCCATTTCTAATTTTAACTTGTATATTTATTCTAATTTATTCATTTTAATCAATATTCATTTCAATTTCAACTCGTACATTCATTTGTATTATAATGAGAGATAGTGAAGTTGCCGTAAAATATACGCGCGTGTATATACTATTGATTAGCAACATTTAGATAGCATTGTGTAAATTGGCTGCGCGATTTTTGTGTCGAGCAGGAATGGTAGCTTCCATATTAATCGACGCGTCAATGGTTGTGGTATGTAAAGTGCACGCGAACATTGTACTTCGATTAGCGCGATCGTAATTAATCGTGTTTTCGCAAATGAGTGTCAGGAAAAAAATTTCAAAGGACAAACAAGCAAGGAAAAGGTGGTCCGGGAATGCACGCATAGGATAATCAATTTATAATCACAATAATAATATTTGTTACTTGTGAAATTAATTAATCGTCTGTCCACGCGCTTGTGATTCATTTTGTAGCCTTTATATGTAATATAATTTTATGTAAAATATTCTGGATTTTATTTCGAAATATTTAAAATATTTAATAACACATATTTATAATTAACAATTATATATATATATATATATATATATATATATATTCGACATTCTATATATAAAATTTTTAATTTTTTACCCATTTTTCAATACCTATTTTTTAAAAATATATAAAGTTTGTTTAAACTCGATTAATATTTTTTGACAGAAATCAGCTGATTAAAGCGTAAATTTGCTGATCACATTTAAAAATTAAAATATGTTATAAAAATTAAAATAATTATGTAAATAATATGTTATAATGCTTAAAAAACTTTAATAATATTTTTTTACAAAATCAACTGATAACTGTCAAGTATATTAATTAACGAAGCGTTAATTTCCCATTTAAATTTTAAAATAAATTTTTTTGGAGAGGAGGAATTAACTCATTAAAGATTAAATTAAGACTCACCGATACGAAGCGCAGTACCTACTGGAGTTGTAATTGCACATATTGATCAGCAAAATAAAAATATTAACAAATTATAATCGGTGTCTAAAATAATTAATATTTAAAAAATAATAATTACATAAAATATTAATGAAACTTTTATTGAATTTCTTGACTATTTTTAATTCAATTTTTATTTACTGAAATAATTATTGTAAAGAAAATGTTACACAAAAAAGTATTAAATAATTAAAATATATTCACCTCACCATTGCTCCGCTGTTGCCCGATGCCTGCTCAGGCCTTCTTCTCCTCTCTTATTGTTGATCATCTTTCCTTTGCACTCACGTAACACTCGTGAAAACACGATTAATTACGATCACGCATAAAAATCAATGAATCGCACGACACTTTATACGGCACTTCCGACGTAAATTACTTGTATGCAACGCGTATTTTATGATCATTTTGACGGAAAATAAACGGAAATTTCGCTCGGCATCTGAAAAAAAATCAAATTTTTAATTATTATTAACTATTACATCATTATTTGTAACAAATATTTTTCTTAAAGATTCAATATATATATATATATATATATATATATATATATATATATATATAACTTTTAATCATTTCGATAATAATGTATTTTCTTTACATTATAATTCTCTATAAATGTTTCCTAGATATAGGAATATTAGCTAGTTTTGATATAAATATTTTTTCTATTAATCGATAGAATTAATTCGAAATGAGAGTGATATAAAATGAGCAATAAATTATCGTTTAATTATACGATCCGAAGATGATTTTTAGCGTCAGAATTTTAACGAAGATTCCAAAAACGCCTGTCTCCGAGATATATTATTTCTATTTCAAAATTCATACACCTAAACCCTTTATGTGGATCGCGTAAAGCTATGGAGCAGCTGAAACCTACACATTAAAATCGCATTAAAACCTCATCTAATCTCCCTTCTTCTCTTCTAGGTAACCCGCAGAATCTGAGGATGCGGTGGCGAATGGAGCGGAGTCGAGGGCGCTGCGTTTGACGAGAATATCCAGCGCAGATCGACGTCGTGCGGCGCACTTGGGCGAACAAATCTCGACGTCAACTTCGGGGTGAAAAAAAGGAAAAAAACGGGGAGGCCGAGAACCGAGCACAACGAGCGACCGTCATGGACCTGACGGAGGCTTTCGCGCCGGGAGGCGGCGGCGAGGACCTGCCCAAGACGGACTTCTTCGACTTCGTGGTGTCGCCGCCACCGCATTGCGCCTCGGCCGATGGCGTCGTCTCCGACGAGGAGAGTTTCCTGCACCGTGGCGCCGGGAACTGCCGCACCATAGCCGGCTACCTTCAGCAGAGCCACGAGGACCACGAGAGCACGCACGGCGGCTCGCCCTTCATCAAGGAGACCAACAACAACACCCTGACGGCGCTGCCGCCCGTCTCGACCATTACCGGCTCGCTCAGCCACCACCATCATCATCATCAACATCATCACGCGCATCATCACGTGCGCGCGCAGCACGGCGGGGTCCAACCTGGTGGAGAAACCACCGCCATGGATCAGTCCGAGTGCGACTATTGGGGTCAGGAGGACGACGGGAAGGAGCAGACGTGCAACATTCTGTTGGAGGATCTCAACAAGTACTGCTGGTCCTCGAGCGCGCATCCCAATGACAGCGTCATTCATTCAGCGACTGGTCCCACGGATCATCATCAAGCTGTCGGCTCAGTCCGTCCTGGTTGTGCTTCCAACGACCGACAGAACACGGACGGTGCTATCTACACTCTGACGGTGCTGAACAACGAGGCGAACTCGATGGACGCGTTGGATTGCTGCAAAAGCCCGGCGCCGGCGTCCGGCGACTCCTGGACCCTGCGACCCAATCTCGATCTGGACGCCATTCTAAGCATGGAACCGTCCTCGGGCGAGCAGGAGCACGAACAGCAGACCGGCGGCGACGTGTCCAGGAGCGTCAACGACAGGTTTCACGGGCCGGACGGTCGTGGCTTCACCGTACCCTCGTCGCAGTACGCCACCGACGACAGCGGCTTCGTCGAGAGCAAGGAACTGTGCGCGCGCGTGTCCTCGGCCAACTGTTCCGGGGACAACAATAACGATTGGAAGCTGTCGGATCAGAATCTGCAGGAAGTCGCGGCCGCGGCCGCCGCCGCGGTCGCGGTGGGAGCCGGGGATTCCGCCGAGAGTCTTCTGAGAAGCGCCCTTCAAGGCAAATTGTACACCGGAGCGTCCCAATCGGTCTCCTCCTCGTCACCCGCTTCTCAAACACCCACCATATCGATGCCGGTCCCGGCAAACGCGGCTCTTTTAGTGCCCGATCAGCCGCAACAGCAGCAGCAACAACAGCAACAGGAGGACTCTATGCAGACGTGTACCGATGAGGACCTGTTACTCTCGCAGCTGGACCAGACCACCTACAGACCAGGCGACTACGAGAAGCTGAAAAGCATCGCCAACGAAGTGGTAGAGTCCTACTGCAGCCTGGAACCGGTCTGCAACGTGTCAGCAACCACTACGGTGATGTACACGTTGGATCCCACGAGCGGAAGTCTGGGGACTATCACGCTACCGGCCGATCTGGGCCAGGTGAGCACGGTAACGGTGGTCACGGCAGCCCAGCAAGATGTTCTCCAGCAACAACCGGCCCCACGGACCGACGTAGACCAGCAACAGCAGCAGCAACAGCAGCAACCGAGTCAGCTGCAGCTGACTTCCGCCCGGGTGGGTGTGGGTACCAAACCACCTAAGAAATACGTCAGACGAGCCAATCGCAACAACGCAAACGGGGCCAGCAACGGTGGCGCCGGGTCGGATACCGGCAGCAACGCGAACCAGCAACAGTCGGGTGGCTCCGGTGGATCGCCCGGAAGCGTGCAGCGCAAGGAGCGTTCCCTGCACTACTGCAGTATCTGCAGCAAGGGTTTCAAGGACAAGTACAGCGTGAACGTGCACATCCGGACGCACACGGGCGAGAAGCCGTTCGCCTGCTCGCTCTGCGGCAAGAGCTTTCGCCAAAAGGCCCACTTGGCCAAGCACTACCAGACCCACGTGACCCAAAAACCGGCCGGCATCCAGCAGACCAGTTCCGGGACCGGCGCGGCCGCCGCCCCCGGGAACAACGGTAATGCCAGCCCGACGGCGGAGACCAACGCGACCCCACCCGCTGCGTCCTCCGCGATCGCCAGCAGGACCCAGGTCGCCGTGGACCCCACGGGGACCGCCTGCAGTCCCCCCAGTTAGTTTCGCGAAGCGCGGAGGAGCTTGATGATACGCACATCCGTCCGTATTCTTCTTCCGTTTCGGAAAAGAGATAGCAGCCCCGCGGCTGGTTTTCTGCTTTCTCTCGTGTTCTCCATTTTTTTTTCTTTCTCTCTTTACACGAATATAATTTCCACGATGGAAACGAGAGCCGAGCTTGCGAGAAAGAGCGAACCATGACGAGCAATTAGATGAACGCATATGACGTATATGTGTGTGTGTGTTTGTGTGTATCGGGTGTTCGAAAGCCAACTCGCGTATAATAATCTTGGAAAATAATTTTTTCAAGAGACGAAGTTGCTCGATTCGACGAAGTTTTGATTTAATTTGAATTGAACATCGTTAAGTGGATTTCCTTGCTTAACTTGTTATTCACAAATTAATTTAATTTTCTATTTAATACTAAAATTTAATTGAGTAATTAAATTCAATTCAATTGTTGGAATTATTTCTTACGTCTACTCGATTAATTTTATTCGATTATTTGCAAAATCAAATTTAATTAAATTAAAATTCAGGTCGAATCAAGTTCAAATAATTATCATCATTGAGAAAATCGATTGCTAATTAAAGTGAACGATGGCAATTATTTTCTGCGACATCCTGCGCACGAAGCCGATCGAGTTTCGCAAAGTTTTGACGAAACCCTGCGCGACACACACCATAGAGTTATTAATTAAAAAGTTAATTATATATAAGAACCCCGATCTTTGTTTGCGAGATTATCTATCCTAACGGCGGCGTTTCGCCGCCGAGTTTTTATATTAATTATTAATTAATTATTGAGAGAGGAGAGGCAATCGCACTCCCCTTAAATTAACATGACATCCGTGAAATTGTTGTTCCTACGATCATCCAATTACCCTTAATGACAATGATGACGAAGACAATGACAGGCGACGGTGATGACGACGACAGAGAGCGACGAATGTTTATAGGCTAATTGACGATATTAATTATATTTAATAGCCACGAGATATTTGACGTTAAAGATGTTTTATAAAATAATATTTTATATATATTATATATATACACACATAATTATACAAGGTGTTCCAGAACCGTCGAGTCCTTTCAATCGAAGTATATTTGTGGTCGATGGAAATATTTTTTCTCATTTTCAAATTCTTAATCAATTTCTCATCGTGAAAATATCAAAGATCGTCGTATTTTGAATACTTCATATTTTTATAGTGAATTTAAAAAATTAAAATTACTTCGATTGATTTAATCGAAATATTCCAAATCGGCCAAAGAATCTGCGAGAGAGATCTCCGACGGTCTTGGAACGTTCCCTGTATACAGAGAATAGATTTAGGTAGTAACTTAGAGCAAAATAAGTGCAGAGTATCGAGAGGAATACCCTTTAATAAGTAATTAGTAGCATGAGCTGTGATTTAGGTACGTACACAACGAGCAGTTTAGAACGAAACGTAACGGGATACTGTTTTCTTATACATTGCTACTTTTTTCATTCTCTCTCTTTCTCTCTTCTCTCGCGTATAAGCGCAGCTAAAAAAAAAAGGGATCAACCGTGTAGACTATTGTCGATCATTACGAATATCTTATCGAAAGCTACCACAGGATAGATGTATCACGCAAGAATCGCTTGTATTTTTAGACATTTCTTGCCTAACTTTGTTTGCAGAACAAAATCTTTCATGGAAGGATTTTTTTATTGATAAAAAAACACTAATAATGTTAGAGAGAATGATATATAACAAAGTTACATTATTATAATATAATTTTTTTATCGATGTTAACTAATAAGAACACTAATGTTAGAATTCATTTTAATGAATACGTTTATTTGAGATAACTTAAAATTTTTTATTTTTATTTTTAATTCTCTCAGAAGAGATTTAAGATTAATATATATCATATAGTTTTTTTTTTGTAAAATATATCCAACTTGCGTATATCAACTCTTCGTAGCCGAATTTTTATATGAACAAAAATATATTAGTCCATCATATCCAAATTTCTTGATAACAATTATATATAATATGACAAAATCAAAATAAATATAAAAAATATATAACAGATATTACTATTAATGCATTAATAAAACTGATAATTAAATTATTTTATTATAGTATTCATTCAATATTAATAAAATCGATAATTAATAAACACAAAATTTTTATATGGAAAAAATATATTAGTTCAATCATAAATCAAATTTTTTAAATAATATATATAATAATATAAAATCAAAATAAATATAAAAAATTATAACTAATGCATTAAGAAAACTAATAAATAAATTATTTTAGTAATCATTAAATATTAATAAAATCGACAATTCATAAAGAAGCTTACACAAAATGAAAAATTGATCACTGCTAAGTTACAATAAAAAGGCATGTGAAGAGTTAATATTCGCATTTATTAATAAGAAAACTGCCCTCGTGTGTCAACAATAATTATATATCATATACTGCCGTAATTATACCGACTGTTTGAAGCTCGTTAAAAAACAATTAGCGATTATATTTCACGAACAACTTTTTTTCGAACGCGATTCTTTCGAATACGATCTCAAGAAGCTGCGCTGAACATCACGCAGTGCAAACGCGCGAATGCGATATATAAAATCGGGACGAAGAGAGAGACGCGCAAATTTTCGCACCTAACCTAACCTAACCTAACCTAACCTAATCTTGTATACGCGTGCTACATTTTCCCCCCGGCGACCCCGTAATAACGACCGCGGAGGTCAAAGTTTCCGAACACGGGGCCCCTCGGGCTATATCGCGAGATTCGCCAGCCTGGTATACATAATTACACGTTGCGTCGATATTGCGTTACGTGCATGCCCATCAAACACGCGCATGCGTGACGTGACGTTGCGTCGCGTCGCGTCGTGACGCAGGTGGCGATAAATTTCACCTCGAGGGATAAATTTTACCTGTCGGCGATTTGTTATCGGAGATAATTAATTATCGATTAAGTAAAGCGAAAGGCGCGTTTGAAAAGTGTTCAACGCGCTCAACTCTTTCCGAGGAGAACAGAAGGTCTAGATGATGTCAATTTGACGTCACATTGATTAAATGTTGACCAAAAAATGACAAATTTATCTATCTAAAAAATTATGTTTTATGAAATTTGCCCAGATAAGAGTTGAGAGTGTTTAAAGAGGTTTTCTCGAAAGGGAAAAAAATCTGCGAGCGCGTTTGCTGGAAAATTCGTATGATTTCGATCGTTCCCCACCCAATTTGCATAATTAATCATGTGCACAATCGAGATTATTCTTCCACTAGAGCCGATACTCAATCGACAACACGACTTAAGTTTGAAAAAAAAATATTATCAAGCATATTTTTTATAATTGAAAAAATTAGATTAAATTATTAATTGAGAAAAATTATACCGAACGAGATTATTCAATTTTCTTTTAGCCGTCGTAATAGTCGCATTTTAATCGCGATGCCGAGAAAAAGAATAAAAATTAAGATTTTATATTTATTATCTTATAATTTATCAAACAAAAAGAAAAAAATGGACGGAGAAACTGCAAAAGATTAACATATCTATCTCTCTGCTGCACGTTACTCTAATTAAAACAGACAGCAACAGCAGATCATCTTAATTATAGTTCTAAACATCTATAATTTTACGGTGTCGATCATATCTTGCCCCCCTTTCGTGCTTCACTATTCTAATTAAAAGCAGGAAAAATCCATAAAGAAGTCGAAGAGATTGTAAGATTTTTTTTTCCGTTCACAAATTATAAATACTATAAATTATACAGTTCATCTTTTATCTTTACTGCTGATATAACTTTACAATTTCGCTCCATGTTATTTTCCAATTGCAGCGCAAAATAAATTAAAAAAGAAATAGAGAGAACTTTTGTGTTTCGTCTTTCGCCTGTAAAAGAAATTTGTCTCTCTCTCTTTTCCACGGAACGAGAGTAGCTCTACGATTCTATACATTATTTTTAATTACCGGACAAAGTAAATTCAATCTACGGTACGGAAAAGGGGGCCGGTTTTGTAGGGCACCTCGATATAAGGGCGTTATTACCGCGGCGTTGTACCTCATCACGCATCGGTCTAGGGTACTTAAAGATCGCGATGATGAGAGCGACCTTATAAGGGGTGTTTAAAGTCACCGCCGTCGCGGCTTTCACCAATCTCGTCGAATCGGATCGCGATCCGCCCGGCTTCTAATCAGCCTCGCGGCGAATTGACCGCGCGATCGATCCCCACCCCATCTCGCGATTGCGAAAGGAAAGCGGCGTCGTTCATCGGGATCCCTCGGATGCGACGACTTTCGATCGTCGCGGAGACTTTATGGGGATCCTAAACGCCGTCCCGAATTCCGATAAGTTAGCACCACACATATTACACATATACACAATATTGGCAGATTGTACATATAAAATAAGACCAGAGTGGAATTGGTATTGGATGAAGGAATATATATATAAGTGAATGTTTAGATATGAATTTTGAAGTCTAGTAAATGAGAATAGATCATCCATTTTCGTGCATGTGTGTATACACATCGTTCATTAAACATTCACTTATATTCCTTTATCCAATGCCAATTCCGCCCTGGTCTTATTTTGTATGTACAAATTGTCAATAATCTATCTGAAAAGAAATAATCGCTCGGCCGAAAAAACAGATCCGTTTATTAGGATCATTCCCTTCAGGGGATTCTTGAGAAATCTGTTGTTTTTCCTGTTTTATCGACAAAATGTGAGGTTAGATAAACTATAAATCTATTTATTGGCTATACGGATTGTGTTTTACCTGAAATTAGACCAGGCCGGATTTGGCATTGGATAAAGGAATATAAGTGAATGTTTAGATCTCAATTTGGAAGCCTAGCACACGAGAATAACTCATTCTACATTTTCGTGCACACATGAAAATGTAGGATGAGTTATTCTCGTTTACTAGGCTTCCAAATTGATATCTAAACATTCACGTATATTCCTTTATTTAATGCCAAATTCGCCCTGGTCTTATTTTGTATGTACAAACTGCCAATAAAAAGAATAAATAGATTTATAATTTATCTAGCCTCACATTTTGTCGATAAAACAGGAAAAAAGCAATAAACTTCTCAGGGGCGTTTAGAATTCCCTTAAGGATTAATGAGATCCTTGAGTTTCCTCGGGTCCGAGAAATTTCATATTCGTGAATACTTTCTGCATTTGTGATATAAACATTTACTGTAATTTTATTTGTATTTTATTTTAATTGTAATATTTTTGTAATTTTTATTGTAATTTTTTTGTGAAAGAAGAAAGAGTTTAAAAAAGATTCAAGATTATTTACTCATCTTTTATTTATAATTCTTATCTTATTCTTCAACTCTTCCTT